TAAGACCAATCCTGGAGTAAGCGGCCCCAGCATGGAGCCCGTACCTTGTCAAGCACAAGACAAAGCTGGAAAAAGTTCAGAGGTATGCCACTTGGCTAATGCCAGAACTAAGAAGCATGAGTTCCGAGGAAAGGCTGCGTGAAATGCACCTCACGACACTGGAAGACAGAAGCGTAAGGGGAGACATGATCACTACCTGCAAAATTCTCAGAGGAATTGACAGGGTAGATAAACTGTTTAACACAGGTGGTACGCAAAAAAGGGGACATAGGTCGAATCTGAGTACCCAAATGAGCCTCAGTAATGTTAGAAAGTACTTTTTCAGTGCCAGAGTAGTTAACAGATGGAATGCATTAAGCAGTGATGTGGTGGAGGCTGACTCCATACACAGTTTCAAATGTAAATATGATAGAGCCCAGTAGGCTCAGAAATATGTAAACCAGTTGATTGACATTTGAAAGGTGGGACCAAAGAGCCAGAGCTCAACCCCGGCAAGCACAACTAGGTGAGTCCAACTAGGTGAGTACCTACTGGTGAGGACATAGCAGTGGAAGGTGTCCTTGATGTATCCACCATCATGCTACCCCACCTGTAGGCATGCTCACACCTACCTTTAATTGCACTGTGGTGGACGGCATCTTTGGTGTGGTCATTTGCATGCTCAAGTAGTGTTAAGTGGGACTATGACCGTGCATTTTGCTTTTCCAGTGCATGTTCGTAGTCCTATTAAAATTTTCTATAAATCTCAGCAGTTCAAAGTCGTAGTCCTAGTACAAATTTTAGTGAATTTCAGCCAAACATGGTTACAGTCCTAGTAAATTGGTCCATGAATGACACAGATGAGTAATTTACCACAGATTTAAAAAAAAATTTATCTCTAAAAATCAGTTCTAGTCATTGTTTTTGTTATTTTAATTTTCCCAGACCTTTTAATAATGGTTATTTTAATATTTTTAATATTGTTTAGTGACTATTCAAAGAATACATATCTGTACCAAATATTTTTTTATAACAAAGATTGTTTAGTCACATCAAATATTTTTTCGGCGACTAAAGATCGAATATAAGACGAAGGACACTCCAGAATATATTTTGGCCCATACATGTGTTACATCAACAGGCTCCGTGGTGTAGTGGTAAGACACTCGCCTGGCGTTCCGCGAGCGCTACGTCATGGGTTCGTATCCTGGCCGGGGAGGATTTACTGGGCGCAATTCCTTAAATGTAGCCTCTGTTTAACGCAACAGTAAAATGTGTACTTGGATGAAAAAACGATTCTTCGCGGCGGGGATCGTATTCCAGGGACCTGCCCGAAACGCTACGCGTACTAGTGGCTGTACAAGAATGTAACAACTCTTGTATATATCTCAAAAAAAAATATATATATTCCCACCTAAACTCCTTCAAAGGTATATATCCATCCTATGTTTTTAACAATCAAGTAGACATCTCACCTATACGAGTTAAAGATTGCTTATTGAAAGCAAGGATAAAGAATACATATTGGTTTATGCATAAGAAGGAAGGAAATTGCAGAAGGCTTATCAGACCTAACCCCTATTTACATCCACTCATTAAAATATATGGCTATCCTGAAATGTAATCAATCATGTCACCTCTGTGAATTATATAAAACTACAGAAAGCCTATTGGTCCATATGCTTTTGCCAATTATATCACCTATAATAGTTAAAGAAAACTGCAGATGGCCAATTAGCTCACAATTAACACCACGTATTCAGCCACTTGTTCACTTCAATCATGTCACTCTTCGCCTATCTATAGAATGCAGTTAAAGATTACTTAATATGTATGAAATATTTTTGGTGTCCAGCCAAAGATCACATTTATACCTAATTTTTTTTAGTGTATATTTAAAGATTGCTTATTGAGCATAAGAACTAATAAAACTGCAACAGGCCTATACATAAGAATAAAGTTTAATACAGAAGGCCTATTGGCCTATACACAGAGGCATCTCCTATGTATATCCACCCCAGCTTTAATGAAATAATCATTCAGTAACCTGCTCAATATCCCAAATATAATATAATACAAAGCAGTCTCCGTGGCGCAGTGGTAAGACACTCGCCTGGCGTTTCGCAAGCGCCTTGCCTTGGGTTCGAATCCTGGCCGGGGAGGATTGTCCGGGCGCCAATCCTTAACTGTAGCCTCTGTTCACCCAGCAGTGAATGGGTACCTGGTTGTTAAACGATTCGGCGGGGTCGTATTCCGGGGAAATTAGGGTTAAGGACCTTGCCCGAAACGCTACACATACTAGTGGCTTTACAAGAATGTAAAAAAAAAAACTCTTGTATAATATTTGACTATATGAAACCTTAATTTATGCCCATCGTTTTCTTGTAATAGTTCAGCAATAAATACCCTGGCTAAATCCATTCATTACGAGAGTCTAGGAAGGGGGTACATAATCCCCGGTACTATACACCACATTGATTAGATCAGCACTTCCGGCATTAATTACTCTTATAGCATGAATGTCTCCAAGCACCCTGGACCAGCGGGAACATCACTCTATTGAGATCTCCAAGTTACCCACAAACCTTACAAGGAGATGCCAAAGCTACCTTAGCCTTACAAGGAGGTACCAAAGCTACCTTAGCCTTACAAAGAGGTACCAAAGCCACCTTAACCTTACAAAGCGGTACCAAAGCTATCTTAGCCTTACAAAGAGATATCAAAGCTACCTTAGCCTTACAAAGAGATATCAAAGCTATCTTAGCCTTACAAAGAGATATCAAAGCTACCTTAGCCTTACAAAGAGATATCAAAGCTATCTTAGCCTTACAAAGAGATATCAAAGCTACCTTAGCCTTACAAATAGATCTACGTGAAGTCTACAAATGGTTAGAAGACTGGCAAATGCTTTTTAATATATGGATCAATGCAAGCCCTTGCATGTGGGGCATAACAATGCATATCCTAACTATCCAATTAGCAGCATTACCTTGCAGCAGACTGATGGCGAAAAGGACCTTCGAGTCAAAATCCACCATTCACTAAAAGTTGCACAAAAACTGGAGCTGCAGTAAAAACTAACCAAAGCCTAGAAATTAACAAGCGTTCCTTTAACTTTAAAGAAAAGAAGGTAGTTATACAATTTTATAAAACTCTGGTGCACATCCACCTGGATTATTGCATCTTCAGAAAGACACAGCATCAATAGAGAAAGTTCAACACCAGGCAACAAAAATAATTCCAGAACTAAGTCAACTCTCAAACCTGGACAGGTTGAGGGCCACAGAGCTAATAACACTGCAAGCCAGACATGACAGGGCTGATCTCGTCGAAACGTTCAAAATACTGAACAATTTGGAGGATGTCCAGACATCTTCAAAAGGTCAGGTGTAACACAAACAAGGAGCAACGGTTTCAAGCTCAACAAACCAAAATGTAAGACTAAGAACAGGAGATGCTTTTCACCCATAGCATGAAAAACTAGAACCGCCTACCCGTCGATGCTATAAATGCCAATACTCTCTTAAATTTAAAAATACAACTAAAAAGATCAAGGCAAATTGGGGGACCTTTGATAAGGCACCGGCTTCCTGTCCTCGTCGAGGCCAGTAGTGTTAGCGGCCCTCAGGTAAATAGCCTACTATTTAATAATACCATCATTTTTAATACCATCCCACGCTGTTGCTGTTGTGTTCGACTAGCAATTTCTAAAATCTAATTATTGCATAACCAACTTAAATTCTTAATACCATTTCACTTTGTTAGTGCTTTTCTGTTTAGCTGTTTCAAACAAACAGGTCCCTCACCCAACCCAACCTAACCTAACCCAACACAACCTAACCTAACAACTAAAGCTAAATTATACAAAATTTAACAAAATTTAACCTTTTCCATTTAAATTTAAGTCAAATCCAACAAAATTTACCCTAATTATAATCAAAGCTGAATTTGACTGTTAAGAGCTCTTAACATCTATTTCCGACATCCAATTCAAACTGGGACAGCTAATTTTTACAACTATATTCTTAGAAATAACTTATTACAGAGAATTTTCCTCATATTCCCTCAACTCAACCACCTTGGGACCTAACCTCGAATACAACATTTTTAGGGAAATTTTGATTTGGATATAACCCTAACTGATCTGTACCTAACCTTCCTGACTCTTTGTTCAATACTGCAACTATATTGTTAGGAAAGTGTTGTGTTTGGACATTATCTCAACTGTCCTGGACGTAACTTCTGACAGCAGGACTTGGTTCAATATTCTCACCAATTTTTTTTCAGAAGTGGACTTACAAACGAACCTGTCCTAACCTCTAGTACTTAGGCCAGAGCTTTTTTTTGCAACTATGTTGTTGTTATTGCGCATTTTCCCCATACCAGTTCAACCCAGCAAGCCTAAGCCTAACCACCCATACCTAGATGTAAACTCCCTTTTACATCATATTCTTAGGAAAATAATATACACTATATCCATACCATTAACAAAACCTAATTTTCCTTAACCTAATCCATTATTGGTTTTATAACCCCACATCTAACCTGGAAATAATGCTATATTTCTGAAAGTAAGAATATATTATTATCTTAATTTACCCAAATTTCGAAAATGTAGGTGGGTTTTACAATTATGTTTGAGAGAAGCTATTTACATATTGAATTTTAAGAACATGATGATTGGATGTATATACAGTATGAGAATAATATATTCTTACCTTAAAAATAAAGCATAATTTCGAGGTTAGATGTGAGATTATAAACCCAATTATGGATTAGGTTATTGAAAATTAGGTTATGTTATTGGCATGGAGATAGTCAATATCACTTTCCTAAGAATATGATATAAATGCACGGTCGCAGTCCTAATTTACCCTACTGGCTCACGCCTACCATTAATGACGTAGCGGTGGAAGGCGTCCTTGACGTGCCCTCCTGCGTGCTTGCTCACACCTACCATTAATGACGTAGCGGTGGAAGGCGTCCTTGACGTGCCCTCCTGCGTGCTTGCTCACACCTACCATTAATGACGTAGCGGTGGAAGGCGTCCTTGACGTAGGGGGTGTAGCTGTCCACACCAAACAGTCTCTGGGTGTTGGTTTCGTTCTCAGTGAAGAGCAGTGGCGCTTCTGTCGTGCTCTGAAGTAAGGATACAATATATTACCCAGAGTACACAACAGTGTTTATAGTGATCATTTTGTTATGTTTACCTGAATTCACCTGAGGGACATGAACACTAGTGACCTCGACATGGGCAGAACGCTTGCGTCTTGTCAAAGGTCACTTCCACATATTGCTCTGATGATCTTTTTCTGTTGGATTTTACAATTTAACAGACTTGGGATTTACTGCTTTGGCGGGTATGCTGTTCCATGGGTTTATAACTATGGGTGAAACCACAATGATTTCTTTATCGTTGAGGGAGGTGTCTGATGGACACCACAGAGTATACCAGTATGCTGCACCTCAGTATACCTTCATGCTGTACCTCGAAGTATTCCTGCATGCTGTACCTCAGAGTTTAGATATCTTACCATAGCCATAAGATATCTTTTATTTACTCTAGTGTACAAGTCATATATATAATTGTATTTTGTTTAATTAAATTTAGCGTTAGCATACTAACCATTTTGAATAAGCATATTTGCAAGTTAATTAGTAATTCAAATTGGGTAACCAGCATTTCCCTTCCTGCCCGACTCATCAACCCATCCTCAGACCAGGACCATTTCATACAGCGGTCGACTCCAAAGATGAATTCATCAATTTTAACATGCTGTTCATTCAAAATAGAATCAAATTCTCAAATATAAGTTAAAATAATTTATATAGCATATTGTGCTAATTTAGGCATTGGTTAGGTTAGGTGTTTAAATTCTGCTGGCGATTATTTGAATTTGTAGGACGTGCATAAAGCATTTACAGCGTTGTGGTTCGAACAAAAGTCGTCAGCGAAGCACTTGTTCCAGAAGTGTTCAGACATCAGTTGTGAGTTGTGTGTAACAGCCCATCCTCGCAAAAAAGATCATATGAACATAAGAACATCATAAGAACATTTGTTGATAACTGGTAACAATTCTATGGATGATATGACATGTATGCTCGGGATGGGGTGCATCTATTTAGGGCTGGGGGTTGTTGTTGCCAACTCGTTGGAACCTGTGGTGGGAGGGGGGGGGGGTTTGTTTGGGTTTAAACTGAGTGTAGATAGTGGCATGGGAATTGATATGGAGAAAGGAGTTAATAAATGTATATGTTTGAGGGAAACAAATTGTTAAAATGATCAGAGGAGAAGGGCCTCACAATAACAATTCACCTAGAGTATATTACAGGAAAGTCAGAGGTTGCCCTCTGAGCTAGCTTACATTTATTAGATTGAAGAAATGTGGATATTTTGGCCTTAGAAAATTTCTGAGATGTGCACAGGTGTACACATGGAACTATCTCCCTTAGTATAAGAGATAGAAGGTCGAATTGGGTGTCTTTGGACAACAAATGCCTTCAGTATTCCAAAGAATCAACCCTTGTTGCTGTAGCAGTTCTCCGCGAATAGCTACAGGTTTCGCCTGAATTTTGTAATGTAGGCTCACAGCAACACACACACACACACAGAGGTGGACACTCTCAAGTGTCCAACGGTTTCCTACCGATGACGTGACGTCACTAGCCGGCTGTTTTCTGATTGGAAGCAGCACGACTGGCCCTAGGCCCAAGCTCGAACCCTATTGGTCGAGCCTGGCACGAGGGGTATGCCATGCCGCCAACCTGCCTGACAAGACGTTATTTTGAAATACCTGGCTGAACTGATCGGACGTGTAAGCTGATGCTCCGGCCAGAGCACGGCCTATTTCCCATCTACATCAAAGTTCAGCTAGCTGAATTGATTCTACGCCGCTCAACGATTGTTGTTACAGAATCCGGTAATCGCAGGGCTCCGTCAGAAGTCATTTAATGAAGATACGAGTGAATCTCAGCCGTCACATGTGGTGTCCACAGGTGCAACTGGACTGTGTCGAAGTTAATTCGGTATCATCGGCTGTTGTGTGAGCGATACGTCATTTTATTATTCAGTAAACTGTGAGAAAGGAATCGAGAAAGGAGATTCCCAGTGTGTGAGTGAAGATCATGTTTAATCTTCAAATTAGTGGTAGTTGTGGACGTGGTTCCCTAACAATATTCCAGCGTGCGTTCAGTCAGTCTTCAGCAAAAATCACGCTAGTGTATAAATCGGTGTATATTATGTGAATGTTTATTAGTTTATTAGTGTGGGAGTCACGCAAATCTCGGCGTTAGCGTCGCGCGCGCGCGGCTACATCACCAGGATAGCTCTCTCTTGCCCCGAGTGTGCCTCACCCTTCACTCAGCTACCCTGGGGGCAGCGTCTCGCCGTCTCAAACTCGCCTCATACATCCAGCTCGTGCTTCCATCAACAGCTGTGCCAGTGAGAGTGGAGTATCATACCGGTATATTGAACGAGAGTACTCAAACCTAATTGTTTTCTCTATCATTCGTATGTGCCAAATTCCTAGTGATGATTTAATCAGCCGATCTGTGTTCGTTCTCCATAATCCGTTCATGGGACCGAGTTCGATTCCCCGAGGAAGCATGATAGGTAAGGGCCTACTATAGTTATTCTGTGTGATTACTGTAGCTGGACCTCAAGTGTGTGTGTCATCTTACACTACATTATTACACATTTAGCGACTGTGTGTTGTGCATTGTGTGTTTTATTGTGTTTGGTGTGGGTTATATATTATACCACTACTGTGTTGTTTGGTGTGGGTTATATATTATACCACTACTGTGTTGTTTGGTGTGGGTTATATATTATACCACTACTGTGTTGTTTGGTGTGGGTTATATATTATACCACTACTGTGTTGTTTGGTGTGGGTTATATATTATACCACTACTGTGTTGTTTGGTGTGGGTTATATATTATACCACTACTGTGTTGTTTGGTGTGGGTTATATATTATACCACTACTGTGTTGTTTGGTGTGGGTTATATATTATACCACTACTGTGTTGTTTGGTGTGGGTTATATATTATACCACTACTGTGTTGTTTGGTGTGGGTTATATATTATACCACTACTGTGTTGTTTGGTGTGGGTTATATATTATACCACTACTGTGTTGTTTGGTGTGGGTTATATATTATACCACTACTGTGTTGTTTGGTGTGGGTTATATATTATACCACTACTGTGTTGTTTGGTGTGGGTTATATATTATACCACTACTGTGTTGTTTGGTGTGGGTTATATATTATACCACTACTGTGTTGTTTGGTGTGGGTTATATATTATACCACTACTGTGTTGGTTGGTGTGGGTTATATATTATACCACTACTGTGTTGTTTGGTGTGGGTTATATATTATACCACTACTGTGTTGGTTGGTGTGGGTTATATATTATACCACTACTGTGTTGTTTGGTGTGGGTTATATATTATACCACTACTGTGTTGTTTGGTGTGGGTTATATATTATACCACTACTGTGTTGTTTGGTGTGGGTTATATATTATACCACTACTGTGTTGTTTGGTGTGGGTTATATATTATACCACTACTGTGTTGTTTGGTGTGGGTTATATATTATACCACTACTGTGTTGTTTGGTGTGGGTTATATATTATACCACTACTGTGTTGTTTGGTGTGGGTTATATATTATACCACTACTGTGTTGTTTGGTGTGGGTTATATATTATACCACTACTGTGTTGTTTGGTGTGGGTTATATATTATACCACTACTGTGTTGTTTGGTGTGGGTTATATATTATACCACTACTGTGTTGTTTGGTGTGGGTTATATATTATACCACTACTGTGTTGTTTGGTGTGGGTTATATATTATACCACTACTGTGTTGTTTGGTGTGGGTTATATATTATACCACTACTGTGTTGTTTGGTGTGGGTTATATATTATACCACTACTGTGTTGTTTGGTGTGGGTTATATATTATACCACTACTGTGTTGTTTGGTGTGGGTTATATATTATACCACTACTGTGTTGTTTGGTGTGGGTTATATATTATACCACTACTGTGTTGTTTGGTGTGGGTTATATATTATACCACTACTGTGTTGTTTGGTGTGGGTTATATATTATACCACTACTGTGTTGTTTGGTGTGGGTTATATATTATACCACTACTGTGTTGTTTGGTGTGGGTTATATATTATACCACTACTGTGTTGTTTGGTGTGGGTTATATATTATACCACTACTGTGTTGTTTGGTGTGGGTTATATATTATACCACTACTGTGTTGTTTGGTGTGGGTTATATATTATACCACTACTGTGTTGTTTGGTGTGGGTTATATATTATACCACTACTGTGTTGTTTGGTGTGGGTTATATATTATACCACTACTGTGTTGTTTGGTGTGGGTTATATATTATACCACTACTGTGTTATATATTATACCACTACTGTGTTTGGTGTGGGTTATATATTATACCACTACTGTGTTGTTTAACCCATGTCCATGCTGTTCTGCACTTCCAGGAGACATGCTGTAATGATCAAGGTAGGTTAATTGTCTGTATTCATTCTTAGTCTTTTATTTGACACGAGTGTCAGTGTGTTGGGGTTCACTAGTGTCAGTGTGTTGGGGTTCACTAGTGTCAGTGTGTTGGGGTTCACTAGTGTCAGTGTGTTGGGGTTCACTAGTGTCAGTGTGTTGGGGTTCACTAGTGTCAGTGTGTTGGGGTTCACTAGTGTCAGTGTGTTGGGGTTCACTAGTGTCAGTGTGTGGGGTTCACTAGTGTCAGTGTGTTGGGGTTCACTAGTGTCAGTGTGTTGGGGTTCACTAGTGTCAGTGTGTTGGGGTTCACTAGTGTCAGTGTGTTGGGGTTCACTAGTGTGTACTATATTGTGTTGGTCTCTGTGACCCGGTGTTGGTTGACTTGGTGTAATGATGTAATTATATAACTTGGTGTACAGTTTGTGTTGATCTCGGTGACCTGGTATTGTTTGACTCATATTGTATACTGTTTGTCATTATTGTATACTGTTTGCATTGGTCTACGGTCGACGTGACCCCGTGTTATGTAACTCCGTGTTCATTCTATCTTGAGAAGTCAGTGTAACTTAGTGTTTATTATTCTTGAAGACAG